CTTGAATCCCGTCTTGTAATTGATGAATATTTCCATATGGTTCCTGGCAGATTTCTTGACTACTTGAATGTCCTGATAAACTCTGAATCACTCAGGATTCTATCACTGCAAAAGGGTCTGTGAACAGTGGAAAAGGTTGAAAATACCATTTTTTTTCCCCCAAGAGCCCTAACCTTAATGACTTGGGGCAAAGCTGATGTTGTAGTGGATGCAGTGTCTCTGGGGAAAATCTTAAGCAGGAAGACAGGAAAGAAAGGATTTGTACTTGAGCATTTAACAATGCAATCCATTCATTTTCAGAAAGAATTCCAAAGGTACAGACCTGGTACACAATTATGTGTGAGCATAATATGCATTTTCACCTAAGGTCATGGAAAAATTGAACAAATGTATTTTTTCTTTTGTATTATGAAGGGGCAAATTCAAATTCTCTTGTTGCTCTGTAAAACAGTTTTCTGGGGATTTTCTCCTCCAAATGCATCAATGATAAATGGCTTTTCTGTGCTTCCTATTAATGAGGCTGACAATCAAACCCCAAGGAATAAAGGACACAAACAAAGTTTTACATGACTTCAAAAGTGCTACAGTAGCTTAAAAAATCACTCAAAATTTGTGAAAGTGTTGATTAATGATTCTCTAAAAAAAGAAGATGGAGGCTGACAACAGTAAATAATTCATGGTTTCTTTCCTTGCAATTCTTATTTTCTCTTTTTTCTGTCCTGCATATTCGGGGATTGTGTTTAGTATATCTTACCATTGAAGATATTTTCTGCCCTAATAGGTATGAAGAGTTCTTTTATGAATGTTGCCAAGGGGTCATAGTCACGTATGTGTAAGGCACAAGCTACCACACTTTTAGGCATCGATTTATGAACAACAAAAACGAGTGATGTTTTCCCAAGTTTATTGTGTTTCAGCTCTCTCTGTAAGCTCTTTGCACAGTGGTACATGGTACTGCTCTTTGATGTCCACAATTTAACTAAACTAAGCTTCTGGTACTATTGGATCACAAGGCTAGTGTCCCTCTCTTAGCTTGATGAACTCAAGGAACTGATACATTACTTAACATTTCCTGGAACTAATATTACGGAAAGGACAGGAGCAAGTGTATTTTTCTACACCTCAAACCACCTTGCCTAGACTTAAGAAATCCCTCATTAACAAGGGAGGACATAGGTTAAACAGGAGATGGAAACCCTAAGCTGTGGGTAAGTAGAATTGTCAAGCTCCTTGCATATGAGCCAGGGATGGGCAAAGTACTGTCATTGAGCCTCCTGGAATCAGTCAGGGAGAAAGGCCTTCTCAGTACCATCCTGACTCTTCAAAACTAAAGTAGTCATATATTGAATACAAATTTCTTTAAATGTTGACAACCTGAATTCCAGGTATGCTACCTTTCTTTTTTATGGCACTAAGGATTTAACATAGGGCCTTCCTCAGCCCTTGATATTTTTAAATCTTGAGACAGGATCTCACTAAGTCACTCCATGTAGGACTGAAACTTGGGCTCTTCCTGTCTCAGCCTCCCGGAGTCCTGAGATTATAGGCATTTACCACCACGGTTCAGCACTTTTCTCAAGCTAAACTTTCTCATACCTATCTCATTGCCATTCAGTAGTAATTTTCAAAAACATGTAAGAGAAACAGAGATTTTTTAAAGTGGGAAAGGAATTCAGATTTGGAGGAGGCAGGGAATGATAAGAAAGGAAAGGGAAAAAAAAGAATTGAGATGGGGTATGTACATGTACAAGCTTCCCACAAATATAAACATTATATACCACAAAACGTATATAAAATACATAGTTTAAGATATATTAATATGGGACCCCAAAAAGTCAAATGTTCATTAAAAGTTTTACTTATCAAGAAAAATATAAGTCACAGTTTCATTTAAATACCAATCTGCCTAACCATGCTGGAAATTATATACAAGAAACACCTAAAAGGGCTTTGAAGGGTGGATAGAAGGCAGAGAGCCTAAGGATTCAAGAAACAACACAGTGGAAAGATTCCTGCATTTTCCTGCTTTCCTTCACACGTTCTAGTTGTGATGCCAAATGGCTAAAAACCTAGAGAGCTCAACAAATACAGATTATTAAAAAAAAAAACAAAAACACTGATAATGTTTTAATTTAAAGGGTGCCTGATAATCTCTAAGCAAAGTGCAAAGAAGAAAATGCAGCACATGAGCCAGAATATTTTCAGAAAATGATTATTCTACCTTACCCGAAGGCGACGGTAAGAACTGTGGCCTCTCCCCCATCCAGCTATTCTGCCACGAAATGCCTCCATGCCCAGGGTGCTATCAGAGAAGACTAATCTGGAAATGTCTGGGATCTGGAAGAGTAATGTTATGAATCCTGAAAATGACTGAGTATCGGAGAATCCCACACTTCTCCCGGCGGCACGAGTGGGGAGCACATGGGCATCCTGCACTTCTACCACACTGAGCAGTGACGAGGGTTCAATGGAGCACTGGGACTGCCCCCGCAGGCCTGTGATACCAAGAGCTAAACCCCAGGGCACTCCAATGTCCCCAGAGTCACACGGGGCTTTTCTAGCTGGAGACGTAGCTAGAAACCTAGTGGAAGCTGGGACTTTGGCATAACTGAGAGTAAGTGACATGTAGCTTTTCCTCACTGGTATTAGTGAATGCTGGGTAAGCAATGGAGATTTCTGTCCCACTCCGGAGTTATTATGGCCTCTTGATCTTGTACTTGGACAGCGCCAGAGCACACAGGTAAATGGAAGGTTTACATAAGATTCTTCATAACATAGTTCCCAAGATGTTCAGGTCTTCTTTTTAATTTTATTTTTTTGTTGTTGTTGTTGTTGTTATACCAAGTCACAAAATGACCTCAAATTGAATGCAAAACAAGACAATGAACAAATGCCAACAATTATCTAACAAATATATAGAAATATCTAGGCTAACAGAAATGTTTCAAGACCCAATTAAGAAGTCAGAAAGCATCAGTAACAAGGAGAATTTCCTAGCAAGGAAAGAGAAGATAGAACGGAGACAGGAATGAAAGGTTTGGACCTATAAAATACAACATCAGACAAAAATTAATAGATGGGTACAATAACACCATGAGAGGAATAAAGAAAAGTGATGGCAAATAGGTAGTAAGATAAATCTAACTGAAACAGTGGAGAAAATATAATTTCAAAGATAATAACAAAAGATTCACTATTCGTGTTGATGGAATTTGGGAAAAAGATGAGAAAGAGATAGAGGTGTAAAAGTATTCAAACAAGTGATGGGAGAACACTTCACAGATTCTGCGGAAGGCGAAAACCCTCACTTTCAAGAAACTGAACAAAAACTTAACAGGTTAAACTGAAAGAAATCCGTGCTGTGACAAAGAGGCGAACTTGAAATTGTCAAGAGAAAAGTGAGACATTACCTATAGCAGAAAAGCAATTGGATGAGAGAATAGATTTGCCACTGAGGGCAAAGGCTCATGGCTCAACATTTTCAAGTGCTGTAAAAACCAGAACTGTGAATACACACACTTATATTTAGAGAAAATATGTTTCAAGAATAAATAAGAGAATTCTTTTTCATCTTAATGTGTATCCTAAAAAGAATGATGAGAGAAAATTATTCAGGAAATGACAAGAGAAAAAATCTAGGAAAATTAGGAAGGAGTAAAACCACAGGTTTTTGTTTTTTTTTTTTTTTGCTTATTGCACAAAATATAACTAAATACAATAAAATCTCCTCTTGAGCTTTCCAAATTGTGCTTGAGAGTTGAAACAAAAATAAAAGTATCTGCAATAATTCTAAATATAGAGAGGGGAAATAATAATTATGACAATCGTATAAAAATAAAGTACATGGATTTTAAAAGAGTAGGTTGTTTACTGTTTGTTGTTGTTTTGGTTGTTGTTGTTGCTGTGGTTTTTTTGAGACAAGGTCTCACTATGTAGTTAGAGCTGTCCTTGAACTCACTATGGAGCCCATGCTAGCTTGAAACTAGTGCACCACCACACCCAGCTGAAAGAGATTAAGATTTAAATATTTTACTCAAATGATAAAACCAGTAAGTTGTGAGTAGTTATTTCATGATACCTAATAAACCACTAATAAAATCTATACACAAAGATAAGTATTAGATACATCAAAATGAAATACTAAAAATAATTTAAGAAACACATAAAAGAAAATGGATGAAAAAAAGCTAGGCCTTACAAGCAGTAATTGTAAAGAGACATTCAGGGCTACACTATTAACAGAGTTCTTTGCAAGCGAAATTACCAGAGATGGAGAAAACATTATAAAGCAGTTAAATTGAGTAGAAAAAAATAGCAGTGCTACAGAGATGCCAAATTTATGAATCAGAAACTGTAAGAACTGAAAGGGGACATAATTCCTTAAATATAATTGTAACATCAACACCTTTGTTCAGCTCAATGTGTAAGACATTGAGAATGAAGCGGTTAAAAAAATAAATAAATAAATAAGACCCAGCCCTGATTGTGAAAACCCATGGTTTATTAGGGGAGACATATACTAAATACTTAGAAAATAATTTGCAGAGATTATAAATGGGATAAAGGGAATTTCTAAAACAACGGACATCTAGCCTTCTTTGTTTTACATGCCCTGTATCAATGTCAACAACCTCTAGGCAAATGTGTAACTCCCAAGCTAGAGAATCTAACAGCACCCGTGTTGCTCTGTCGCACTTCCCAAAGATAACAACAAAATCCAGGGAGCCCACTTCGGTTGCAGAACCTACCTACAGCTAGAAATAACCTACTGCCAAGAAAACAGAATCCTGCTTCTGGGATGGTTTTGTTTTGCTAGTAACATGCTGCGCACTGATTCTGAGCCCCGTGGCTCTGTGGTTCTTCTGTGGGCCTGGTAGACTGAGGGGCACTCCGAGAGCACATGATAAGCACACTAAAAAGAGATGCAGGGTGGATGGCGAGAGCAAAGCTTACCCCTGAGAGGTAAGAGCCATGACGGTACAACGCATAAGTTGACTTACCACGGTGTAGATCTGATGCTTCCGTCTTTTAGCCAGGTCAATTACGTTTACTCCGTTGTAGTACAGGTTTTCCATACATCCATGGAAATTTTTCTTTAAAAAGGTCCCAGGCTTGCCTGGCACTGGAATTCCTCCAAAACTAAGCTTTATGGTGGGAAAAATTAAAAAAAATAAATTCTTAGTTATAAGCACTGAAAGAGTAGGAGAGGAAAGGGAACATTCCATTGTATGCAAGAGCCAAGTGGCTCAAATAATTACATATGCCACTTGATTACACATTTAAATGGATACTGATTAGACCAAGTAAAAATAACTGTAATTGCTTGTTTCTTAAGAGCTTATTTTACAAAACCACTTCCATTTATTTTCTGAACCATTTTAATACTAAATGAAACAATATTTTACAGAAAGAGGAATAAAGGAAATGACAGTCAACATCTTTATATCTATCTCTTACACAAGCATCTTAGACTATATGGCCAAACAAATGCCAAGGGACAGAAAAAGCATACATCTTTTGGGATACAGAAAGACCTAGTTTGGAAGCTTGTATTTTACACCAAAAGCCTTATATGTAAGGTGATGGCTAAACTGTTATGTATAAAGATGAAAAATAGGAGATCATGTATGTATCCCATTTGGTTTTATAAAGCAAATACAAAAGCAACTTAAGGAATCTTACATGGTGTCAATGATACTTTCTGAACATCGGTGACACAATGAGAAATCAATGTCTCATCTACTGAAAAGTGCAGGAGTAATAAATGGTCATGAAATTTGGTGTCAGCAACAAAGAGTTGTGCATGTAATACAGGCTGGGAAGAAACATACTGAAATCACTGTTGGATGTCCCTGGGATGATTATGGGGTGATAGTCTCCTTTATCATCCTTAATTCCAGTATTAACACAAATTAATTTTCATGGGTGTATTATTTTTAAAATCTCATCTGTTGTGAATGTTTTTTTTTGTTTCAGAAAAGTAAGATTTTTTTTAAGCACATCTATCCCATTAAAAGAGCAACCATTTTTCCCTGATTTCAAGAATGACTTACATTTTATACCTGTATGCAGGTATCTGCAGGTAATACTTACACTACACTGGGATTTAAGTCTCCCACCCCCGCCCCCTCCACTCCTGTAAACAAGCAGACATGGGCACGTAGGAAGGCGCAGAGAATGAGTGCTAGAGGAGGATGTGCTCTCTCTCCCAGGAATGCTTCTCCTTATAGGGAAGCTAGTGATATACACTGAGGACAACTTCTAGAGGTTCAGTTTTATCATCAGTTTCACATAATTAAAATTTTTTTTTCTTAATGAATAGTAAAAAGTGGTTAGAGTTATTAATCCTGTTCCTCATTTTTATTTTCCCCTGCTTTACACTTTTTAAGAAATTTTTTTGCTGTTTTGATTTACTTTATTGTAAAACAATTTCAGATGATATTACTTAAAATTTGCTTAGACTTGTGGTTGAAGAGTCATTATTTCCATTAAAACATTTATTTGAGGGCCAGGGATTTAGCTCAGTGGTGCCCCTCACAAGTACAAAGTGCCAAGTTCAGTCCCCAGTATTTATTTGGAAAAGAATAATTGGTTTTTAAAATATGTCGTCTTCCTCACTAATTTTGAAAAGACCTCTCACTTAAAGATATTAAAGATATTATATGTTATGCTACTTTACCTACTTATCATTGGATTAATCCCTATGATTTTTTTGCTTTGAATGTTATTGTACAATTTCACTATTTGTGAATCAATTCATTCCAAAACACTTTATGATGAAAAATGTAACCATCTGACTGGTAGTGGTTTATTTTCTCTAAGCAGATTGCTACATAAACTTTTATATTGAAATATAAACATTTTACTTTAAATGTGTGAAGTGTAATAATCATATAACATGTACAATACTTTATTCTTTTTTCAAATCAATTTTCTATACATTTTTCTCTTATTTTTTCTCCTGGTCAAAACCTAAAACTGGCCCAAAACTTTTCAAGGAATGTTAAAAAATACTAATGTAGCCAGGCGTGGTAGAACACACCTGTAATCCCAGTCCTCAGGAGGCTGAGGCAGGAGGATTTCTGTGAGTTCAAGACCAGCCTGGGCTACACAGTGAGTTCCAGTTCAGTCTCAAACAACATAGTGAGACC